TGCCCAAGGTTATCTCAAGTGTTTCTATGACCAAACCTTTTATTCTGCCTGCTTTTTGTCAGTCTCCTGCATCTGATCTTGAAAGAAAGTGGCATCTCCTTGATGTTAGAGGAGCCCTGAAGGTCTACAGATCATCTCTTTGTCTCCTTTCAAGGCACTAACAAGGGTGGTGCTGTCTCCAGACCCTCTTTAGCCAAATGGCTGACTTAGATTTCCATTAAAGGCTCATTCCACTAGGGCTATGGCAACCTCCTGGGCTGAAAGAGCAGCTGCCTCACCTGAAGAAATCAGCAAAGCAGCTACTTGGTCGTCGTTGCATACCTTTATTAAACATTATAGGCTGGACATATTCTCATCCTCTGAAGCTGCTTTTGGGCGTAAGGTGCTACAGGCAGTGGCCTTCTGAGTCCCCACCCTTTTGTTTTGTTTGCAGGGATCTTGCTATATCCCACTTGTAAGTACTGCCACTATGCGAGAGGAAAACCAGTAATTTTACTTACCCTAAATTCCTTTTTTCTTAGAATAGTGGCAGTACTGGCTTTCCCTCTACTTTTATATGGATTAAATAACTTTTGCATTATTCAGTCTCCGTTTGGCTTTTGTATTGCTGGAGTTGTACTCTGGCTCACAGGTTATATGGAGGCAGCAGGCGGAGCACAACAATTATCTTCAAAAAAGGGGAGCTTCTTGTCCAAAACCGGAAGGAACATCCCACTTGTAAGTACTGCCACTATACTAAGAACAAAGGAATTTACGGTAAGTAAAATTACTGTTTTCCCTTTAACATACTTTCCTAGTAAAATAATTTGGCTGCCAAGAGGGCGATCAAGTGTGTCAAAAATTCTGAGTGGAATTAAGATTTACTTTGGGTATCACACGCAACCCTGCAATACAGCATGATGTACAAGCATCGGTCAGAAGCTAGAAAGAAGACTTTGAAAAAGCATGTCACGCAATCTGTCTGCGGTTCTGGAGGACCTTGCAGGAGAGATTCACTCCACACTGCCTAGTCCTGCGACACCACTCTTGGGCAAAGCTGTGGCTTGAAAACTCTCTCCCCGGAGAAGAGCTAAGATGGCTCGACGGGCCAGGTGCAGTTGGCGCCCCCGGATGAAGCACCCTTTCTCAAGACCCCACAGCATGTTTCAGATGGCAGAGCGAGCTGCATGTAGACAGCGAAACCTCACGGAAGCCTGGAAACCTCAAGGCAGCAAGTCAGACTGGGGGACTTCTGCTACGTTCTTTTTCTACCTGGACTCTGCCTGACCGCAATGGGCATCGGGTAGGCAGCCTGCGTACAGAGGTTCACTTAACCTAACAGTACATTTTGGCTATAGCCTCAGATTTGCCGTCTGTGCCGAGGTGACTGACCTGCTGCAGTTTGATGTTCCCCTAAGGTGCCCCTATCATAAAAGCCTTTCCCATAGTGTACCTATCCTGATAAGCATCTAATGCCCAAAGCTACACAACTTGTTGGCACTAATTTAGTGTGATATGCTCAGACAAAACACTTCCGTCTGATGTTAGCTTGTTTCATACAGCTCAAATCGTGTTTTGTACCCCAGGTTTACCCATGTTGTCTATATTATAAAATAGTGCGGCACACGTGACATTTTAAGAAAGCTTTATCTTGTATGTTACATACTCCTGTTGCAATGTCTCTATAATGCCTGTAATCATACAAAATATACTAAGCAAGTCCTCTAATTCTGTTATACCTTTTAAAAATTGTGTATGTCTTTCTCACTGCCCTACTACATGTAAGCTATGTGTCGTGAATCTATTGTCATTGGCTGTTGGGGCATGACAAAAATGTGTGTTTTTCTGCACTACAAAAATAAAGAATTAAAAAGAAAAATTTCAAAAAAGACTTGCTTAGCTGGAGGAAACAAATCAGGCCTTGATGAAACATCCAGAACATAGCTGGAGCACGACCTTCATTGCTGCTGGGAAAACGATTTGCATCCTGCTCTGGTTTACCATACACTTCAAGACACCTCAAGCTGCTTCGATCAATCGGTGTCCGGATCCAGAGGATGGTACAACCAGTACCGAGTCTCAGATGAGACACTGTATAAGCACCTGGGAGGATTGATCTTCAGAGGGACTCTCCTGGACTGACTGCACCATGCTTTGCCGAATGGCTATCAGGGTCTGCCGCAACCCACCTCCCAAGCCGAGCCATAGTCGGCATTCCCGTACATCGCTAACACAATAGCTTGTACTCCCATGTTTTGATGTACCCACACAACTGCAGATTGTATTTTTAGTTTGTTTCATGTTTTTTAGTTTTACACTGTCTGCACTTGTTACAAATCTATCAGAATCTGTCAGGAATACTGGTCAAGCATCAAAAGGATGGGGTGTGGTGGTTGTCACCTTAATTATCCGACCTCACTGAGATATAGCTATCACTCATTTTACAATACATGCCTTTCATGAATATAGATATCTGTCTTAGCTGGTCTTATTATATATTGTTGCCTATAATCTTCATGTCTATCTCATGCCCTCTCTTCCTAGTCCTCTACTAATTGCCGAATTTCGACATGACTGAACCTCTTCTGTTCATACAAAAAAAAGTGCAAGCCTCTCAACATGTGATTTTCCATGTCGCTTTAATTATTGTTGATATGTCCTTACAAACTTGTGTGATTATCTATGCACTACAACAATAAAAAAAAAAAAAATACGTCTTACTAGATGTTTCTTACCCTACAAGAACAAAAAGGTTTGCTTCTATCCTGTTTGAAACAGAATAACCTAAAATTTAAAGGGACACTATAAGCACCCAGACCACGTGACCCTGAAATGTTGCTGTTTCAGAGAAACTGCAGTAATTACATTGCAGGGTTAAGACTCCCTCTAGTTGCTGTCAATGAGACAGCCACCCAAGGCACTTTCTGCTTGCTAGGTGACTTTTTATGCTTGCGGTACTCTCTGCGCATTAGCACCCCCCTGTCATCTGATGTCTTCAGGTGAGTACAGAAAGCGTTTTTAACCCTTTCCATGCTGGAAGGGGGGGGGGGGCGCTTGAGGGATGGGTGGGCCATAGAGAAATATAGTGTAAGGAATACAACCTTTGTATTCCTGCACTATAGAATCCCTTTCAAAGGGGCTACTAACATCTCTACAAATTCTATATAACAATAATAGGCTGATATTTAACTCACAAGAAAAAGTCTGGTTTAAAACAAGTACTAAGTAATACGTTTGTTTGTTTTTAAAAACACAAGAAGTTAATTTAAAAGATATCACAATCAAGTCAAAATAGTAATTACATAGTTAAAGGGACACTATAGTCACCAGAACAACTACAGCTTATTGTATTTGTTTAGGTAAGTAGAATCATGAGCTCTCTCCACCCATCTTGACTCGTGTCTTTGACTGCCTCTCTTCGATCTCCAACTGGATGGCTGTTCACTTCCTTAAACTCAACCTCTCCAAAACAGAACTTCTGGTCTTTCCTCCCTCAAGTGTTACTACTCCCGTGTCTGTCTCCCTCCAAGTCAACGGCGCTACCATCACCTCTACCTCGCAGGCTCGCTGCCTGGGTGTTCTTTTTGACTCCAACCTCTCCTTCACCCCTCATATCCAATCAATCACCAAATCCTGTTGCTTCCATCTCAAAAACAAAGCGCGCATTCGCCCCTATTTAACCCCAGATGCGGCTAAGGTGCTGGTCCATGCTCTTGTTCTCTCTCGCCTTGACTTCTGCAATACCATTCTCAGTGGTCTTACATGTTCCCAGATTGCACCGCTGCAATCTATAATGAATGCAGCGGCGAGGCTCATTTTCCTGTCCACTCGCACCTCCCACGCCTCCCCGCACTGTAAGTCCCTGCACCGGCTTCCAGTTAAATATAGGGCTCAATTTAAAATTCTAGGGCTTGCTTACAAGTCCCTACATAATGCTGCTCCAACCTACCTATCCTCCCAAATACACAAGTATGTCCCGTCGAGGCCCCTACGCTCTGGCAAAGACCTGCGTCTATCCTCTGTCTGTACTCCCACTTCTGATTCTCACCTCCAAGATTTCTCCAGGGCTGCACCTCTTCTGTGGAACGCGCTTCCATTCTCCGTAAGACTTTTACCCAGTCTCCACTCATTCAAAAAATCATTGAACACTCACTTCTTCAAGAAAGCATATCAGTTAAACTGTAAGCAGTTTTTTCCCCCCACCCCTTGACTCCTCTCCTGCAACTGTCAAAAAACACCTACTAAGCACTCAATGAATACTTTTCTAACAACCTACTTCGTACCCCTACTTTTACCCTTTGTGTCACTATACCCAACTCCCTCTAGAATGTAAGCTCATTGAGCAGGGCCCTCCACCTCTCTGTTCCTGTACGTCCAATTGTCTTATAAAATTACATGTCTGTTAGTCCACCCAATGTACAGCGCTACGGAATGTGATGGCGCTATATAAATAATAAAATAATCATTACCTTTAGGCTATTTGCTGTAAACACTTTCTTTTCAGAGAAAATGTTTTTCTGAGTCTAACAGCATGCAGAGTTACAGCTTCAGGCTTGAATTCAGTAAGATTTGTGCTATATTTATGGAGGAATGAGGGGCCCAGGGGGGCTAGATGGTGGTTTTAACACTATAGGGCCAGGAATACATGTTTGTGTTCCTGACCCTATAGTGATCCTTTAAGGGAAATATAATTTAATAATTATATCATGATTAAGCATCTGATCTTGGGTACTCTGGGCATAAGGCAATGAGTTAGTATAAAATTAAGGAATATGTTTGCACTGTTGATATATTGTTTAACAAGCATAATTAGGTAGCTAAGTAATTGTAGTACTCACTTTTGATAACTCCAAATTTAACCGAGTAAAAAATATGTATGTCACAATTAACCGTTTGAGGTTATAATCTGTTTTTTGTGGGGCATTTTGGGCATAAGGTAAAGAGTTATCACTAGTGATGTCCCGAACGGTTCGCCACGGACGGCGAACATAAACATAAACTTTGACCCTATACCTCACAGTCAGCAGACACATTCCAGCCAATCAGCAGCAGACCCTCCCTCCCAGACCCTCCCACCTCCTGGACAGCTCACTAAGAATGCAGCTTCACAATGAATGCTGTCCAGGAGGTGGGAGGGTCTGAGAGGGAGGGTCTGCTGCTGATTTGCTGGAATGTGTCTGCTGACTATGAGGTACAGGGTCAAAGTTTGTTTGTTTGCCGTCCGCGGCGAACCGTTTGGTACATCACTAGTTATCACACATTTTAAGGATTAGATGTGTAGTACTGATACATTGTTAAAGGACCACTATAGTGAAAGGAAAACATTTCTCTGAAACTGCTATGTTTATAAAAAAAAAAGGGGTTAACCCTAGCTGGACCTGGCACCCAGACCACTTCATTAAGCTGAAGTGGTGTGGGTGCCTATAATGGTCCTTTAAACACAATCATAATTTGGAGTCATTTGAAGAGACAAAGTAGTACCGGAAGGTAAGGGGAAGAAGGACAATTGGAAAAAGGATGGGAAAAATTGAGACAAAGAAGGGAATACTTTTTTATTTTTTAATTTTTTATTATTGTTAATAAATTGATTACAAGAGAAGTCTTAACAGACCTGAATGAATGAGTAATCCATCCTATCTGGGAAGGATAGAAACTTTATTGAGACATTGAGAAACCATGTGTTCTACATTAAAAATTAAGATTATGATGTAGTACAGATTAATAAGAAATTAGGTGTTTTTTTTTTTTTGTCTCTCTAATTTAATTTTAGAAGATGTTCCCCTCCCTTTGGGTACTGAGTATAGGAACTCTGATATTCGGTTCAGATGCTGCTCCTATGGGTCCAACATCATAGGGTGCTTATTGCTTTTGTACAATATTGTTTTGTGTTGCTGTTCTAATCTTTTCTATGTGGAAGTGACTGACTCAGATCACCACTTCTCAAGATGTCAACCAAGCAGACAGATCAGGGGCAGAGCCAGCAGGAGCAAATTGGAATAAAGGTAAAATTTTGCTATATTTAGGAGAGCAAGTGGGGGTCAGGAGGGCTAGATGGTTTTAACACTATAGTTTCAGGAATACATGTTTGTTTTGTCCCTTTAAATCTCCAGATCTGGATGGTTTTCCTAATGCATTTTAAAAAGTATTTAAGAAAGAAATCTTATCCTATTTAAGCCCTACTCCTAGATTGCAACTAAAGGAGATGCGTTAGAAGAATTATTGAGAGTTAATATTGTACCAATTTTTAAGCAAGATAAACTTCCTACAGAGCTATCCAAATATAGTTCAATCTTATTGATCAATGTAGATATTAAACTGTGTCCCTTGCGACTATGGGCCGCCAGCATACCTTTACAGCCAGTTCACAGGCCCTATGGGCCGGGCACGCAGTCCAAGGGCGACAGGCAGGAGGGGAGTGAAGATTCTATTTTCTGACTCATTATAAGCAGAAACGGTCTTTGACAGGGTTGGATTGGGTTATTTAAAAAACAAACATTTGATTTTCTTTGGCTTTGAGGCTTATGATTTCTGTTCAAACTTGCTCCATTTACTTAACAGAACTAGACAGGGCTGCTCACTTTCACCTTTGTAGTATATAATGTCTATTGAACCCCTAGCTGTCAGTATAAGAAATAATCCATTACTTAAAGAAATTACAGTTAAAGATAGTGATTTAAAGATACTTCTGACAATGTGTTGATTACTTTATCCAACCCATTTACTTATCTTATAAAAATAAGATGATCGAATGTGTCCAGGAGCTACAGTAGACAATTGTATAGAAAGTGCTAAAAAGTTATACGCATAAAATATACAAATAAAGAGTCTAATCAATTCATAAGTTCATAAAAGGCAATCCGTGGTAACTAAAGTAAAATCAGTCCGCAAAACACTGAAGTAGAATAACTCTGAATATAGTGATAGGTACAAAAATACAATAATACAATAATAACCTTTATTTTATGTTATCCAATAAAAGTATTTACTCTTTATCGACCTGGTTCCTGATTTACTACACAGAGGAATTTCAACACCTTCTGGGGGACCTGACCATATATCTCCATATCTACATCTGATTGATGTACCTGCTGTTACAGTTTAGAGCCAACTCATAGAGGCTTTAAATATTGTGAGTGTTCCAAGTTTTTTTATTGTATATACTGTGTTGATACGTATTGCCGTATGTTGGTTTTTTTATATGTACACAGCCTAGGGATTACACACTAAAAACAAGAAAATTATTTACCAGTGTGTGCACAATCACCTTATCTCTAGTTATATATCCAACTTGAATAAAAAACAGGCATGACAGGTACTCTTAAATCAATAAGAAGAGCTTATTCTTATTGATTTAGGAGTACTTGTCCACCTGTCATGCCCGTTTTTTATTCAAGTTGGGTATAAATGCCCTCTTTTGAGACTCAGGACACTACAGCCTCTGATGAAGTAAGGCTACATCCTCACGAAACGCGTAAGGCAGAACTCCTGGGAAATAGACTTTACATCAGATAGTCTCGTGTTCGACTATCTTGTTGCCGTCTGTCTCCAAAGAGATACTGGAGATTGATCCGGAGCAGAGTGGAGAGCCTTGGAGTGAGGCATCAGGTGGAACGCACATCGACCATCACGGAAACAGGTTGAAATTTGTACTGTCTACAACGATCTTATACTACATTCACTTATTGAATTTTTATTGCATCTACCAATTAAAGTGTTTTAGGAAGTATGTTTGCTGTTAATTCTATTTTTTTTAAAATATCTATTTTAGCACACAGTTTTTTTTCCCTTAATACTGTTCTGCTTTCAATATATTTTATAAATTATATTTACTGTGTACCAGTAAATTATATAATCATTAACTTAAGGGGTCACACCATACTGTGTGTTATCCATGCATACAGGTTTTGTGTGACTATCCCTATGTTACATACCTTGGACTGATTTTTAACCAGCACTTATTGTATTATTGTATTTTTGTGGACTCACTGCCTATTTCTATATTTTTGAAATATCTTGCGGACTTATTCTACTTCAATGTTTTGCCGACTGGTTTTACTTTAGTTACCACAAATTGCCTTTTATGAACTTCTGAGTTGATTGGACTCTTTATTTGTATATTTTATGCATATAACATTTTAAACTGTCTACTGTAGCTCCTGGACACATTCTATCATCTTATTTTTATAAGTGTTACTCATTGGTATATGTATCTATAGAGGACTGGTGACCCTCTGTCCAGTTTCTAGAGCTACTCTGTTTTAAATTATTTTCTGTCTATTTTCCCTACTCTACTCCCTCTAACACTCTAGCTCTACTACATTTACGTGTGTTTGTGTTTAACACTTTTATTTGTATTTTGTGCTATCTTTTTACCATTTACTTCTCTGGCTCATCTCATGATGGAATTTCAAAGATAAAGAACCATATCAAATTCTAAACTAAATATGCACAAAACTACAGTTGTGGTTAAAAATATTGATGAAGGGGGTGTGGCCAACAGTATATTGAACTAGTAAACAAAATAGTATCAGTGCTTAGAAGATATTCCCCTTCACATGTTATGGGAAATACACAAACAGAATAAAATTATCAAATGGTGTCCCAATGTCAGTTATGTCTTTAAAAAAAAAAAGATATTTCCAATAGAGGGGGTGTAGTAATAGTTGTACAGTGTCCTGTATATTCACTTGTGATTTCTATGTCAAATCCAACGGAAACTATGTATCCATCTTAGAAATAGGAGTAACACAGATATAGTGTAACACTGTTATTTTATTCACCCCCCTATAAAATCCCTTTGTGAAACTCTTACACGAGTAGTGGTGGTACTTGTTTCCAAGGACCACAAAAAAGCATTAGGTGCAGTACAATAGTCTTTAGAAGGTTACCATTCCGCTGGTGCAGTGCTGCTCCTGTACATTTGAGCCGGGTCAGATCTCTTGCACCTCGGAAGGACGCCAACTTCTGTTACCGCTGGACTTGCTCTTAAAGACTCCAAACTTAAAATGCCGCCAAACACGATCTACCCGTAGAACAGGGCTTTCTCAAGATCAGTGCAGCGGCGGATCTGAAGCATGCTTATACCTCTTCTTAAGAGAAAAGCCATCCAGTCTCTTAAAAGCACATTGTCCATGAAAGTTTTTGTAAATACAAGCATTCATATTATTATCTAAGGTTATATCATGATGATAGATTTATATGTGAACACAATAAAATAAATATAGACAACATATGACATTAACTTATCATATGTCCTAGTTAACATACTTTCCTGATCATTATTCATGGCAGCATTTACTCATGGGTTAGCTCCTCCCCTTACAGCAGAAAGGACAGGAAATAGAACTCTGAAACTGGTATAAATAGATCCTCCCCCTTCCCATCAGGCAGTCTTTTTTCCCTGTCCTTCACAGCAGTTTGGAAGGAGTCTGCTTAAGCAGGCCTAGATTTTTTCTTTTATGCTCACCAGGCAATATTTTTTAGGCCCTGCCGGGGTTCATCCTCTAAGCCCTGAAGACCCAGCAAAACGCACTAAGATGAAGTGGCTAGCCTGGGTACCCCCTTTAGTGACTGGGGGTTGGACCCCACCTCTCCCTGAAAGGGATGAAAATGGTCCACTGCATGCCAGGGTTCAGCCTCTTATCCCTGAAGACAGGCCAGCTTGGGTACCCCCTTAGGGGAGGTATGTGATATACTGCCTACATGAAGCCAGGCCAGGGTTCAGCCTCTTACCCCTGAAGACCCAGCAAACCGCATACCGGTAAGAGTTGCCAGCCTGGGTACCTACTTCAGCAAACAGGGGTCTGACCTATCTCTCTAGGAAGTGATGACAGCGGTCCACTGCATACATGAGGCCCAGTTGAGTCTAAGCCTTTATTCCTGAAGACCCAGCAAACAGCACATGTGTAAGAGTTGCCAGCCTGGGTACCTCCTTCAGCAATCAGGAGTCTAACATATCTCTCTCCCTGAGGGGATGACAGCGGTACACTTACATGAGGCCCAATGCATTCCTTACACACATATCAGGACATCCCCTACACACTCCACCCCCTGTGAACAAACTCATTGGTGGAACATGAAGGTGGACCCTGGGACCCAGACCTTGAGCTGTGTAAAGGGCCCCCCAAAAATGGAGCTGCTTCCCGTTCTCCAAGAGAGCCTGTTCTACACCAGACCAGTGGAA